TTCTGTCTCTCCCTATCCTAGGCCCTCACCTCAAGAGGCTTGTGGACGTTCTGGAGAGCCAAGGAGGTCGCTGGTTGGTGTTCCTCGATGATCCTGACGGCGCGGTCTCCGAACAGGTGCTGTCAAGAGGGAATTTGGATTCTCTTTTTGCTGTTGCCACCAACTCATTTGAATTAGCGACAGTACGCCGTTTGTTTTTGTTTTCCTTATTTACTAGTATTATAACTTTATACCAAGAGGTTATTAGCAATTTGGAAATTGGAATTTAACGAAAGGGAGATAAATTACTGTGGCATATGTCCCGTTCGCCGTGAAGTCCGGTTCTCTCTGGTCGCGGAAGTCATAGCCGTCTGCGGAGGGAAGCAGTTGCTCAGAATCTGGTAACATTGCTTATAAACCATTGAGTCTGTATGCACGCTGATTATTTTGATCACTTCTTTATCTTTGGCTTTCAAAGAATGTGTGTGTGTGTGTGTGTGTGTGTGTGTGTGTGTGCGTGCGTGCGTGCGTGTGTGGTGTGTGTGTTGTGTGTGTGTGTGTGCAGCGCCCGTAAACGGACACAAGTACATCTTGAACACTACCAAATTAGTCCGCTTCAGAATTATTCTTACTGGTGACAGTGTGATTGAAGTGGAATTCGGAGCCTCCATAGTAGCCATAGAAGGTGTCGAAGCCCCGTTCGAGCGGCGTGTAGGCCCAGTCGCAGAAGCCGAGGTGCCACCTGCGGGAGGGGGGGGGAAGGGGCAGAGGCAGAGAGTAGAGCAAGAGAAATGATACAGCAGCTAGAGTGACGCAGAAGATCGAAGAGGAATATTGAGCATAAATAGACATGAAAATCCTGTTGCGTATGTCTTTGTCTGAATGATTATAGATAAGATTCTTAACAAAAGATAGAACGTGTTTGTTGGAACTGTTGTCCTGTTGCGGAATATATGACAATAGTTATAAGGATTATCATGGTTATTCATCTATCTAAATGGAAAGAAAGGCTGTAAGAAAGCACCTATTTTTCTACTCTCCGTGGAACTGGCCAAAAACGAGATCAGATTTCGACCTCAACTCACTTCCCGATCATGTGCGTGGAGTAGCCGAGGCGCGAGAGGCGCTCCGGCAGCAGCGTGTGGTGGACCGCGAGACCAGTGGGTGTATGGCTGCCTAAAGGAAGCCCCTAGAAACCGAAATTTATATCTTCCATTATTCAGTGGGATCCTGATATATAAGAATAGACAGATAAGAGGTAAATGAATCAGAAAAAGAAAAGGCAACTTAATCCTCTTCTACGAATCCCAAGGAAGCGAGGTTCACCTGGCGCCCGAGCCGGAAGGGGTAGAGCCCCGTCAGGAAGGCGGAAAAAGGGGAGAGGGAAAGAGTGAATCGGCGAGGGACAGACAGACAGAGCGAGAGGAAAAGAAAGAAAGAAGGTGGAGGTAAAGGAATAGAGTTTAGTCTCTCGACATTTTAGATTCTGAAATATATTTTCGTTCTGGAGAGAGAGACAGCATGGAAAAAGACCATTCGATTTTTAATTTTCCTTTCCTTCACCACTTCCACCTGAATCTTTGAACAGCCCTCGGAAACGCGATCCTCTCAGGGTCTGTTCACATTTCATCACGGCGAAGAAAATAACACCCAGGATAGTTCTTCACTTTATCCTAAAATCCCTGAACCTCCACAAACCTCACCGAGATCATCTGCCAGAATGAAGACGATGTTGGGGGCAGAATCAGCGGCGGCAGAAGCAGAAGCAGGCACCGCCGACAGCCACAGCAGCGCCAGCAGAGCGGGAGCCACGGCCGGGCAGGGCCCTTGAAGCTCATGGTCGTTGTTTCGTCTGCAAGTAAATATTATTGAATAAATTACTTAACAAAAATAGATGGAAAGTGAGAAATGTAAAAATGAAAGAGAAAGGGATATATATATATATATATATATATATATATATATATATATATATAGAGAGAGAGAGAGAGAGAGAGAGAGAGAGAGAGAGAGAGAGAGAGATCCACAAACAATCCCTAGGAATCTATTCAGTTATCGGAATACCTGATAACGAGCTCACTGACAACAGAGGTGAGTCGGATGTTATTTTCAACTGATATGGAAATAGATAATCGAATCTCTCAGTAGATTTCTGTTACGACGTCTTCCTTTTTTCCCTTCTCTTTCTTATTTTCCCTTTCCTTCGTTTTCTTCGTCTTCTTTTTCGTTGTCGTCTTTGTCTCCTCGTGCCCCTTCTCTTCTTTCCCTTTCACCCTTCTCCTTCGCCTTCCCTCCCTCCGTCTCCACATCCGTCTATGCCTCCTCTTCCGGCATCTCCTTCCTCTTCTTCCGCCTCTGCCTCACCACTCCTCCTGCTTGTCCTTCCTCCTCCTCCTCCTTCCCCTCTTCCTCCTTCTTCCCTCTCCCCTCCTCCTTCCCCCTTCCTCTTCCTCCTTCCCCTCTCCCCCTCCTCCTCCTCCTCTCCTCTCCTCCTCCTCCTCCTCTTCCTCTTCCTCCTTATCGTGAACCTCACTTACAAACGTCCCAAGCACTGTTAAGGAGAGAAGAAGTCGGGTATTAGGCGTCACCTAATAGGTCCTGGGCCTTCTGCAGGTAGGAGGTTCGGTCGAGGACCACCACCGAGTTACCTTTGTCAGAAGGCAAAATGGTGACATCCTCCCTGCGCAGGCTGTGAAGGGCCTCACGGTAACGCCTGGGGATGGAAGGGTTAGGGTGAAGGAGGGACTCGAGGGCCGGAAGGAAGGCCCCACGAAGGAGGGAGACATCAGGCAAGGAGTTCCTATGAGCGGAGATGAACCGGTCAAAGGAAGAAATGATGTCAATAGAGGTAAGGGGAAGAGGGCGGAGAGCAAAGGAAAGACCGAAGCCAAGGAGTTGTAGTTGGTGAGGGGTCAAGGACAGGGAGGAAAGGTTGGTAACCGCGTCGGTGAGGGAGAAGCGGGACCAGGGACTACGGGAGGTGAGGTTGGAGAGTTTCTGGGAGAGGGAGCGGGCATGGGTAGTGGAGAGGAACCGGGAAGAATCGTGGGCCACGTCAGCTAGGAGCTGGAAGACATGGCCGGGGAGTCGTTCCTTCAGGAGGTCAGAACGAACCCGCGAGCGATAGTAGGAAAGCTCGACATCCCTCTTACCAGCGCGGATCCGTTCAAGGAGGAGGGAGCGAGCATAATCAGGAAAAGGAGATCCAGGACCTATTAGGTGACGCCTCCACCTATGCCCCCCTGACCAGTGACCCGCGGGAACGCATTGCTGCCACTTTCCACCGTCGTCTGAGAGAGCTTGCAGCCTGTTTCCCGGAGGCGAACCTTTACCAGAGGTTCAAGGTCGTTAACCCTCGCCTCCCTCATTTCTATGGGCTTCCTAAAACCCATAAGCCGGCCGTGCCTCTACGCCCCATCATCTCCTCCCGGGGATCGGTGACGCATCCTCTGGCGGCTTGGCTGGCTAAGTCTCTCACTCCCCTTCTCGGCACCTTTTCTCCTGCTCACCTTCGCCATTCACAGGACTTCATCTCTCGTGTCCGCGGTGTCCCGCCGGCGTCCATGCTGAGCCTGGATGTCGACTCCCTGTTCACCAAGGTCCCGCTTGATGACGTCCTCGCTTTCCTTCAGAGGAAGCTCCCTGCCGAGGATCCTCGTCTTCCTCTTCCCACCGAAGTCTTCCTCCAGCTGATTCGTCTGTGTGTGGAGTCGAATTCCTTCTCCTTTGAGGGTCGTTTCTACTCACAGACGTTCGGTGTTGCCATGGGCTCTCCTCTCTCCCCTGTTCTGGCTAACCTGTACATGGAGTTCTTCGAGTCGGAGCTCCTCCCTTCCATCTCCCCTCGTCCTTCCATGTGGCTGAGATATGTCGACGACGTCTTCGCTCTCTGGCCCCATGAACCTGCCCTGTTTCCTGATTTCCTGTCGCAGCTGAATTCTCTCTCTCCGTCCATCCACTTCAAGGTGGAATGGGAGGTTGACGACAAGCTCCCTTTCTTGGACACTCTTGTCCATCGCTCTGCTGATCATTTCTCCTTTTCTATATACAGGAAGCCTATGCACAGTGGTATGTACATACACTTCTTCTCGTACCATCCGCTGCATGTGAAGAGAGGGGTTGCCACCTCGCTGTTTCTCCGTGCCCTCCGCATATGTGACCCCCAGTACCTGGATGGAGAGATCGACTTCCTGCGTCGTTCGTTCTCCAAACTGGGCTATCCTCGCCATGTCCTAGACGTCGCGTTATCCAGGGCGCGACGTACCTTCTACCATGACTCCCCTCCCAATGAGTCTCCTCCTCACCTGCCAGTCCTCAGCCTGCCTTACACTGAGGAGATCTACTCCCTCCGTCGGCCCCTGCAGTCTCTCAACTGCAGACTCTCCTTTCGCCAGGTGAATACTCTCCGTCGTAACCTGGTTCACATCCTGCCCTCCCTCTACCTCGAAGGTGGCACCTATGCTGTTCCGTGTGCCTCCTGTGATCAACAGTATTTTGGTGAAACAGGCGCCAGTCTTACTAAGCGTCTGTCTCAGCATAAGTACGCTGTATCCAGGGGACATAGCAACAACGCCCTCTTCTGCCATCAGTGGGACACTGGCCATCAGATGGACTGGAAAGCTGCACGCATTCTCTTCCCTTCCGCTGATGTCCATGCCCGCAGACTGGTGGAATCTTCTCTCATTAAGCTGCTGCCCAATTTCAACTTGAACAGCGGTTTCTCTCCTGCCGACAGCCTCCTCGCTTCCCACATCCTTCGTCTCCTCCCTTATGCCGGTCACCCGTCACATAGACCGCCTGATCCTTCGACCTGATCTGACCTCCCTTCGCTTCCGTTCTCCTGTCCTCACCCGCCCCGTGGTTCCCGAGTGCTTCTCCTCCTTTCCCTCTTATACCGCTTCGTCTCCCTTGCCTCGAGCTCCAGGCTAGTTAACGTGTCGGCCTCTCATCCGAAGAGAAGTTGCCTTACTGACCACGAAGGACTAAGCTCTGAGCACATGATCGAGTCGACATTAGTCTGT